GCGCATATAGAAAGGTAATTATAGAGATCGTGCTACACGTAGAATGACACATTCTAAGCAGTATCCAATGAAGTGAGGCTTAAAAGTATTGTTGCGATAGAATTTTTGTTGAGGAAAAACAGTCATTAAGTAGATAAGGATTTTGTTCGAAATTGAAAATTAATATCTTGTACAGTAAAAATCTGAAGATACTATTTTTTGCATCTAAGCAGTCATCGGAGTATTTAAGTAGCGCTCTTAATGCTATTAATCAAAGTAGTAATGTAATGCGCCTCTCTTTCCTTGCATTTGTTTACCATATATTGCTATATTATATTGAAGGTAAACACATTGTCCTTATTTTGTTCAAAGCAGACTTAAATTAGAAACTTCAGTTTGCATTCATATCTCTTGAATCGAAAGTGCCTATTATTATTTTTTTTTAACGAATATAACAGTAATAAAAAACATATGCAGAACATTAAATTTCCTGTCCACTGTCACGACATCAATCACATACTCGTAGGTCGAAAATACATTGTGAAATTATTTCTTTTTCAATTCTTTCTTATTTATCAATGGATTTATGTTACTAATTCTTTTCTATATCATGGTAGTTTGCTCATACATTCGATCATCCCGATAAAGCTTTAGAAACGAGTGTATTGGTCCATTTTATCATACTTTCGGTTACTGTCTAAATTTTTGATTGTTTTATTTGTATAGCATCCAGACCTCTAATTGGAGTGCCGTTCCCTACATGGACCCATATCCACTTTGGTGGTTATCAATCCATGCCTTTAGTACATCGCCTTTTGATGTTTTGTCACTGGAAATATTAAAATACAAGAGAAAAAGCTTAAATAAATAAAGGATGGCATACATACTCTATATTGAAAAATAATTAAAAGTAGCATGGTAAATATTCAACATAAGTACATATCTACAAATGGTAGATAAATAAACGAATAAATAAATAAACATAAATTAAAATAAAATAAATTAAGAAAACGAATTAAAATAAAAATAACATGATAATGAAAATAAGAATAATGATAAATTTCTTTGAATTTACCGCACATATTAGTTGGTGTTACGGGGAAACAATTGGTTATGGAATTACCTATTAATATCAATAAATATTTGAAACAGATATTTGTTAATCAGTAAAAAAAAATCAAAAAAAAAAAAATCAGAGCTATATAATGTCACCTCGCTCGAGCCTTTATTCCACCTCACTGGTAAGTAGCACAAAACTGCATGGTTATCATGCGCGATAAGTCACCAGAAAATGTAAAGCCCAGTATATCAATAAACGTATTACCAATTCTTTTTAAGCAGCTGAATCATTTTACATAACTGGTTACTATCGTAATCACAAAATACCTGATTCGCAAACTTGAGATCATCAATACTTTTTGGTATTTGGGAACAACATAGAGCAACACAACAAGTTCATAGACCCGCTAAAAGTATTTTATTGTACAAGGATTTTGTACAAATCTGAACCAAAACTAAAATCTAGCAAATTAATTTTAGATAAAGTCTTAGAATTCCTTAAGAACTGGGGTTTAAAAGCTATTGAAACCAAATCAACAGAGATTACTTTTACAACAAGAAAAAACTTCTACTGTTCAGTTCATCTAAACAACGGTATTATTAAATTAACTAGCCTATATAGGCTCATAAGGAATCACTCAAACTATATTCTATAGAAAATACAATAATTATATATACAATTATCCAAAAAACGATCTGAAATTGTGAAGCATTCTCGGAATTACTAATAAATCAATAATTCAAATGAATATGTCATTAACATGCAGTTATGTAGAGAACTTAAAAACTGCATGGCTAATCAAAAAATAAGAAATGAGCTTAGACCAACAAACCACGTTGGAAAATACATTCTAACGAACTAGTCTACCAAATTATGAATAACCCAAAAATATTCAGTCGTTAGCATAAGTAATTAATAATCATATCCCGAAAGATACAAATAAAACCATCGATTACTAAGATAAGATCTTTAAGACGACATTCCTTTGCTATTTCTTCAACAAATTTGCATGAATTTGCTGGAGCGTATAATTAATACAAATAATAAATAAATTTGATTTAATTAAAATATCGGAAATACTACAAATAGTAAGCAGAACAAAAATTTCTATTATAACACTCCATCAATAGAATAAAAATAGACTGAGTAACTACATCAGTTAAAAGTTATAGATCATAGTCGCCACTTCTTTACACTTCTCTAACCTTTGTTTATAAAGGGTTAACAAATCCTTTTTGTATATTTCGTATTGTAGTCCTACACGGTACTAATGTTTCTATACTTATCATTATTACTGCTTCAATGTGATCTCCAAGTAATTTGATTACTAGTCACATCTTGACAATTTTTCCTAATATCACACAAAGTTGTTAAAAAATATTTTTCACAAGAAAAATTTAAAATTGATTTCGAAGTTACATTATAAATGACTGTTTTTTTTTCGAGAGTTCCTTCATATACGACTTTATTCTTCTTCATATTCATTTACTTCTTTTAATGGACATACTACTTATATGTATTGGGTGTATGGTATAATTCAGTTTTAGAATTTCACAAGAGATTGAAAAAGTCTTTGGAAGTTTAGTTCAAATGCATATTATTCCTTTGTATATATAAAACTAAAATATTAAATTGTATTATTGTTTTTAGAAACACTGGGAAAACAGATATATTTAAAACGGTTGAGATTACAAAACTCATTAAAATTTCTTAACCAACCTTTGCTTTATTCTGCTTTATGCCGTCTATGAAATATAAAGTGCATGAGAATTAAAATTTTTTTAGCATATCAGTATTACATGCCGCACAAACAAGCTTCATCTGCTTCATTTATAAACGATTATAATTCTTATTTGGTTTAAATATTTAGTTTGTGAAAGATGACGAATTACAATTGGATGTAGAAATTTTAATATAAAGACTTTCTGATATGAAATAATTCATAGCCCATTCCTTATCATCCTTAATAAGTCGAACTAAATTTGTTTTGGGAAGCGTTTAAGTTTTTATTTAATTTGCATTGAATTGAGAAATTTATGTTTTGTTTCTATTTTTTTTTTTGTGTGATATTTAGTATTTGGAATAACATTTAGGGAAATAGTCGATGAAGTTCCAGCAATTATACGTAGTTTCAATTATTCTATCTAAAGATTTTATAATTTATTTGTTCTGAATATATCAATACTTTCATTCAGAGACAGCTCTTATTCAATGAGATTCTTATTCAATGAAAATTGCCAGAATTGCACGAGGTACACTAACTACTGTTTTTACTATACTATGAATTCGTATTTCATAATTGCTGTACCATTTAAACTTCCAGATGAAGATGAAGAAATCCGATAAATTTACTTACGTTATCTCTGATAGGTTAGTGAATAAACATAATTACAGATATAGAAGTCACCACGGTTGCCACTTGAAAATTTTTTCCTGTACCAAAATTGGTTTAAAAAGGTACCATTTCTGTAAAAAAAGGTCCAAAATTTTTTTGGACCTTTTTATTTTTTTGTTCTGTGTTTTTCATAGTGTTATAAATGAACAAAATATAAAATAGTGCAAAGTTGATTTATAAAAAAAATTATTTGGAAATATCCACAATAAAGTTGGGTCGTCAAAAATGTACCATTTTTTAAACATGAGTACCAAAAACGAAAAAACGAAAAAAAAAGTACCAATTTTGGTACTAAAGTACCATAAGTGGCAACCGTGGAAGTCACTTCTTCTATAATTATAAATAATGACATAAAAAATAATGGTTTGTACTTCTTCATCATATTGTCAACACAGTCCAGTAAGCACACGATCTTTCATTCATTCATATCTTATCAGTTCAATGGGGTCCTTATAACTTGTCTAAATATTATCAAATTTTGAACATGTCACTTAACGGTTGGTAGTTTATACTCGTAATGGAAAAATAATAAAACTCGTCAAATAATTGTTAATATGTCATCAAAGTTTGATAAATGGCTTATTAGGGTTGATTGTTTGGAACGATAAATTGGAAGTTTTATAAGAAGCTTTATATGCAGTTGCCAGAACCAACAATCATGTTGAATCGCATTATGTTTACTTCGGTATTAAGAATCAAATTTTTTGAATTTGAGTTTCTGGTTATGGAGAGAACTTAACATTAAGTTTTTGAAGGGAAAAATTATTTTTCACTTTATATATCGTAATAATGTTTTTGAATATGTTACTGGTGAAAGTAAAGAAACTTGATTTAAAGTATATAAAATAAACAATAATATTCTAAAGCAAATATTTAAGTTGCTTCAAAACATATAGGATTACTTCAATGTCGGTAATGATTATAAAAGTTTTTTTTTTATAAATTATTATTTAGAAATAGATTTCATTCAGCACTACATGAAAAGTACAGGGTTTTTCTAATCATTTTCAAGTGTAAATCATATCTCCTTGCACTTTTGCATAGGAGATCAAATTCAATCAAATTCAATCAAATTCAATCAAATTCATTGATGGGCTTTTACTATCAGATTTACGTATGAATACAAACAATAATACGATGAGGTTTGATGCCAATCAAACCTTAATTTCTAGAATTAAAGTCGGATTTACTATTTCAGAAGATGTTTTCCTTTCTATTTTTATTTGCTGATTTAAAGTACATTTTCTCTTTATCTGAGTCTGAGACAATATTTCTAGGTCAAGAAGTATCAATCAGTTCAAGTTTTTTTAAAAGTGTAATCAAATTATTTTTTAAAAATTTACAGAAAATTTTCAATTTTTATTTAAAAACCAGTCTCTTATCAGAGGGGCACCAAAAACAATTTTACATATATTTTCAGAGAATCAGTATTATGTATTTAAGAATAATAAATAAGTAGAAATAAATTGAAATAACAATTCAAGTAAAATTTTTAATTAGTATAAAAAATTAATTGTAAACTTAATTTGAGTTTGAAAAGAAATTCATTATTTGAAAGTTGGCCGAGGAAGTCGCACGTAGCAGTTGTGATCGAAAGTGAAACTGATTTCTTATAAAATTTTTTTATAATTTTTATATTAAAAGTGAAATTAAATTATTAAAAATAAAACAAATTATTTTGTTTTATAAGTTTAAGAAATGAAGTGTTTTGTTCTATTGGCACTTTGCCTTACTGCCGTTGCAGCAGGTAATATTATCAAGATGTGTTTTTAACAATTATAAATATTTTTCAAAAAATTAATAAGAAAAGTTAATCAATATTAAACAAATATTTTTTAAAATATTTCAAATATTAAAGAGAATATATCTTTATTTATAGATATATATCTAAGCATATACAAATATTAGTTTTAACAAAGATAAAGACAAAAATATTGGTTAACTATTAAAAAGTTCCCAAAAATTATCCTTTGCTAATTTTTAGTTGAATTGAAAAATCGATAGTAAAATTATCATATAAAAAATATTTAGAAAAAAAACTGAAATTCATTTTCAGTTAATAATCTGAACTTAGCTTCACTTCAGTGCTAAAATTTCCAAAATTTTTATGTACATGACCGCCATGGATGGTTTTGTTCTGTGCCATATGTTATCTGTGGCAACGGGTTTGTTTCAAGAAGGACTAGTCTGCTACTGTAAATAAATAATATAAAGAAGAAAATCTAATATAGGATTCTTGATTGCATGGTTCCAAAAGTAAAAGTTAGCAGGACACATTTGTGAGTGAGATATCAAGCAAACTTTTATTTCAATGTATTTATATTCTAATATAGGGTTCTCGATTTCGTGGTTCCAAAAGAAAAAGGTAGTAAGCCACATTTGTGAGTGAGATATCAAGTAAACTTTTATTTCAATGTATTCTAATACAGGGTTCTCGATTTCGTGGTTTCAAAAGAAAAAGGTAGTAAGACACATTTGTGAGTGAGATATCAAGCAAACTTTTATTTCAATGTATTTGGACCACATCATTAGGTGTAAAATTCAATATCATCCAAATGTGCTCCATTACACATTTTATGGTATTGGATTGTTCTAACAAAGGAGACAGAAATACTAGAGATAGTAAAACGACGAAAAGTGTTCGGATTATTCGGCATCCGGAAAAGAACGGATTAGTGAATTTAATCATTGAAGGCAGAATTGAGGGTAGACGTGGGTCTGGGAGACGAAAGATATCATGGCTAAAGAATTTACGTCAATGGCTCAATAAAATCACTTTCTATAAAACAAGATCAGTTTTTCGAGAGGCTAAAGTTAAAGTCGCAATCATGTTAGTTAACGTTCAAAGCGGACAAGGTGCCTAAAAGAAGAACGATTATTTTCTCCGATTTTTTGACACATAGCTGATAATAGTACAGTCATAACCTATTCGTTTTTAAAATTTGAAGAGTTGTAGAATTGTCAACAAAAATATAATTTTGTGTGCAGTCCTACAAAAAAATGACAACGGTGGCGTGATATTACACTACTTCCTGGTTTCAATTGTAACCATATATCATTCACATCAATAATTTCAATCAAGGGGCTATAGCGAACAAAGCAAAATTCACGAATTGTGTTACATTTTTGTCACGTTATTTAAAATCAATGGATCAATGGCACTGGCTACAACTATGCTTAGGTCTTTGGGTCCTTCTTTAACACACTCAGCGATATCTCCAGTATTAGCGTTGACCAGACTCTCGCATTAATAAATGCTTCCGACTTTCTTCTATCCACTATAACATGGAATTGTGGTTTCAAAATGGCTTCCTTAGCTAATTGAGAAGGAATCTTCCCTTCCTCCACTTCAACTTACTAATTAACTAGTACTTCCAGATCAAATTGCGCACAATAGAGTGAGTTTTTGTGAATGCAATAGTCTTTTAAATGTTACTTGTAGTTCTTCACTAACCTAGAAGCGATAATTATAATAAGATAAGTACATTTTTTTTAAAAATAAATTTAATTGTAGTTTAAAAATATGAATTAAGTTTGATCAGACGTCTGCCAACTTTTTGAAAATTCATGAAGTAATGATCTCATAATGTAGTTTAAACCCATTTTGAATTCATATTCCATAAAATTGCCATTATTACTTATAGTGACAAGTAAAAACTATGCTATTAGTGATGTGAAAAGATAAATACTTAAATAAGAAATACTTTGATAACTTCCCATTTCGGGCAAATATTATAGTAAATACTTAGATTGAGTATTGGAGGGATTTATTCTGAGAGATATGAGAAAAACTCCCTCTCAGGTATAAAAGAGTACTATAATTATTATTTATTTGGTGTATTTACAATGTATTATTACAATGTATTTATGTATTATACTTCGGGTAAAGACACCGCTCTTAGTAAAAGCATAGGGCGTAACTATCAAGATAAGCCCGCTAATTAAATATTATCAAGCCAGGTTTTAGAATTGCTTGTTAAAAAAGTAATTTGTTCTAAAGGAGAGTACGGAATATTTCGGAATCATTTTGAGGAGCACAAAACCAAGATGTTTTTTTTTTGCTTTTTAACTAAAACTGTGTTCTCGCAAAAGTTGAAATTGACACATTCTTTATTTCACAGAATCTGTGAAAAGTAGAAGATACACCAGCTTTTGCTTCAAAAGATTTTATAGCTTCATCATAGAATTTAAATGAGGAGTATCCTTTTGAAAGATAAGAGAGCTATCTCTTCACAGTGTTAGTTTGAAAGATTGTCCTTAAGTATGAACATGTGATCAGTTATCATCACTTCATCAAAAACTTCAGTAACTTGTGAAGTATGAGAGATGGGCACTATTTCGATTGCACTTTTTATTATTATGTGAAATCGACGTATATATTCTATTGTAATTTGATTTTCTTTAAAGACAAAATGGTTATTTGGAATGCAGTTCTTCATATTCATAATGGGATTCAATTTCTGAAGGAATAGGTTTTCGAAAAGATTTCATTTCTTAGAGTGGCTAATGTATGATTATAATTTGAGAGAATTTTCATACATTAAAAAATTAAAAGAAAAAAATAAAAATTAATATTATGAAGTGGTTGTTAACTGCACTAAAAACAAAAATATACGAAAAACAAATTTCTGTTAAACACTAAGGCAGAATGTCAAAGTTAAAAATCAATTTGATTTAATTATTGATTATAATTATTTTAATTAAAATGAAATCAAGATTTCAGAAACTGAATTTATTTGACATTATTGCATAATATTTCTTATCGCAATGGAAATTCCAAATATAAATTATTATGTTCAAATTCATGATATATAATCCAAAAAAAATTAATTTTTTCTTGAATGAAATTTATGTTATTTTTGCATTAGAACTAAATACATATTGTTTTTATGATGTCAATAGCAACATACATTTTTAGAGTTCTTTATGATAACCCCATAGATGACACTGCAACAGTGTCGTTGGAATATGCTTTACTCATAAAATTTTTTGTTTTTTTTTTTTTCTTTTATAAATGAGGTATAAATTGATTAATCATGCATTATGGGATTGATAAGCAAACATCCTGTATTCGTTATATAGTATATATAGAAATATAAAGCAATTTGTAGATATATAAAAATTGTTAGACAATAAAAAAAGATTGTACAAGTTTAACGAATATAAATGTGGATGATCAAGAATTAAAAGAAATTGAAAGATCAATACGAGTACTATTTATCATCTAACACATCATAATCCATTCTTCCATATTAATTACTTATGCAGTAAAGTTATTAAGGACTAGTAACGCTCAACATTACTATATCGACATAATTCAGTGGATTTATCATGCTAAACCCTAGCGACATTTTAATTGGGATCCCTTCTAGTTTCAGAGTGATTTTTTACTATAAGTCCCTTTGCTAGAATACAGAATGACTCAAGTTGAAGTTATTAACGTCAGGGCTCCTCACCAGGAGAGCAAACTAACCCTTTTGTTGCATTGGTTTTCTTGATGCGGTGGAATCCACCACCACACTTTGTCCCAGATTTATAGCATATACTTTAATAATAATAAATTATTATCATTATTAAAAGTAAACTAAATTAAAAATAAATAAATTAAAAATAAACTGATTATATTTTCGTTCATATTTTTATTTTTAATGAAATTTTAACGATTATATACAAATCTTAACTTTTAAACATATATAACATCAATTAATAATATTCTTTTTTTTCTTTATTTCAGATAATTTGGAAGGAAGGTAAATTGAATTATTCAATACCGAAGTATTTTTTATATATTTTCTATAAATATTTTTTCTTAATAAGTTTTAAAAATATTTTCTTTTTCTTTTTTATTTACATTTATGTGTCATATAATACTTTAAAGTAAACGAAGAGATTTTAATACTTTGTAAGTACCTAAACCAGATGGAATGGATTTTTTAATTTTAAAATTATTAACAAAATTCCTCCTCATTGGCTATTGGTACAAAATTTTAATTGGTTTTTAAAATAATTTTAAACAGTTTCTATAATAAAATTGAAATATAATAATAATAAATTAATTTTATATTTAGTGGATATATTTCGAATAATATATATTTTTATTTTTTAGATATATTTAATTTTTATATTTTTATTATAATTTCAAACAGTTTCTATAATAAAATTAAAAAAACTAGAATAAATTTAATTTCATATTTTTTGAATAAATTTTCAATAATATATATATTTTTATTTTTTATATTTATTTAATTTTTATATTTTTTTTATAATTTCAAACAGTTTGCATAATAAAATTAAAAAAAACATAATGAATCTAATTTCATATTTTATGAATATATTTTGAATAATATATATTTTAATTTTTTTTATATATACCATATTTAATTTTTATATTTTTATTATAATTTCAAACAGTTTCTTTAATAAAATTAAAATATAATAATAAAAAATTAATTTCATATTTAGTGGGTATATTTCGATTAATATATATTTTTATTTTTAGAAATATTTAATTTTTATATATTTATTATAATTTTAATTTTATAATAAAATCAAAAAAAAAAAATATTTAATAATTTAATTTCATATTTTTTGAATATATATTTCATATATATATTTATTTTTATTTTTATTTTTTACATATATTTGATTTAAATGTTTTTATTATAATTTCAAATAGTTTCTATAAAATTAAAAAATAATAATATTAATTTAATTTTATGGGTATATTTTGAATAATATATATTCTTATTTTTATTTATTACATATATTTAATTTTTATTTTTTTATTGTGATTTCAATAATATATAATATAATTTCAATAATAATTTAGTTTCATATTTTATGGATATATTTTCAATAATAAATATTTTTATTGAAATAAATTTTTATACCTATAAAGTATATATTTGTTATATAAACAGAAGTATATAGTAATAATACTTAAAATTTACAAACTTTGATTTTTTTTTTAATTTTCATAATTTTCGTAAAAGTGATTTATTTTCCTAATTAATTATAACGATGTAATTAACATATATTATATATATATATATATATATATATATATATTATAGCTGTTTATAACAGCTTATAACAAAACTTTCCCGAAGTTAATTAGTCTAAATATAAATGTATATAATCGACATCTATTTCATAAATTTTTTTATAATTAATTAGGAAAACAAATTGCCTTTAGGAAAATTAGAAAAATTAAAATAAAAATTGAAACTGGTAAATTTTTAGTATTACTACTATATCTTTAAGTCAGATATTAATATACAATTAAATAATACATTTTTTATTCTATTACTTAATACTATTTAATAATGTATCATAAGTATTACTACTGATATTATCAGTCACACATTAATATACAATTTAATAAATTAATTATAGATAAATAATCAATTTATTTTATAATGCGTTTTTTATTCTTTTACTTACTACTATTTAATAATGTATCATAAGTATTACTACTGATATTATTGAGTCATGTATTAATCTACAATTAAATAAATTAATTATTGATTATTTATTTTTTCTTATAACACTTTTTATATTCTATTATTTATAACTATTTAATAACGTGTCATTAACAAATCGTTTTTATATCTCTTCTTAAGACATTATTCCCAACATCAACAAACTGTTGATGAGGCCAGGAGGCAGCTTGGTGTGAACTATGATGGGTATGTATATATTGGAAAAATAAATTTATTATATTGTATTTTTATATAATTTATAATATAATCTTCTCAAAATTTATTATAACAAATATTTTATAAATTACTCAGACGCTTATATGCAAGGTTGAAAAGTTGTAGGCATCATCTCTTTCATCTTTAAAATGGCTTATAACTTTCTTGTGCAGACTTTTTAAAATTATTATTTAGGGTCTCTTAAGTTTATTAATTAAAAAATATCATTTTTTGAAAATATTATTTATGATATTTTTAATATAAAATCGAAAATCATCATTTTTCTAAGCATCAGCAAGATTACTAGTTAGGGTATTTTTAGTATAAAATATAAGAAATAAAAATTTTTCTAAGAGTCGTCACTGACCCTCTCATATTTGGTTTTTACTTTTCACACCATCTGTATACTTTGTGTTATTAATATGTTAACTGCTTAGGTTTAATTTTGCAATGAATTAAATTAAAACTATTTTTCTACTACGTAGTCAACAACAAGCATCTTTTGAGGAAGTTGGACATTATGGTGGTGTTGGTACTGTCGGCTTAAGTGGTGCTGAATTAGGTTCAACTTCATCACTTTCTGGTGGTTTGTCCAGCGGTCTTTCCAGCAGTCTATCTAGTGGTCTTTCCAGCGGTCTCTCCAGCAGTCTTTCTAGTGGTCACTCCAGCGGTCTTTCAAGTGGACTTTCAACTGGTTACTCAAGTGGTCTTTCAAGCGGTCTCACAAGTGGTTCGTCATTCGGTTACAATCAAAATGCCAATTTTGGTTTGTCATCATCATCATCACTTGGTTCAAGTTCCAGTTTGCTTAATAGCGGTGGCGCATCTGTTGTTGTACCTGTATCAGGTGGCAGTTCTACATCAAGCGTTTCAGAACAAACCGAAAATATAGTTTCACATAGTGCACCACAATTAATAAGCACTGGTGGTTCTACAGGAGGTCACGAAAGTCTATTGCATCATGAGGAACACATCAGTAGTGCTGCACCACAATATATTTACAGCGCACCATCTAGCGGTGCTGAAAAATACTATCATCACGAAGAGCGCTTAATAAGCAAACCACAAGCACAAATTGTATACACAGTACCATCAAGCGGTGCAGAGAAATATGTACATCATGAAGAACGTACAGTTAATCAACCTGCACAAATTGTACAAATCACTGCACCATCCGGTGGTTCCGAAAAATATATACATTACCGTGAAGAAGTCAAGAAGGCACAACCTATTCAATATTACGTACAACCATCTGGTGGTCATGAATCATATGTGAAATACAATAAAATCACCTCTACAGCTAGTCAGCCACAAGTTATTGTTTCACCATCAAGTGGTTCACACTCATCATTGATCCAACATACAAGCTCCACTAACACTGGCTCAAACCTTGGTGCTTTACTTAGTGGTGGACTTCAAAGTTCTTCCAATCTTAACAGTTATGGTAACTTAAATAGCGGCTTTGTAGGTGAGTTATAAAAATATAATGTAAATTATGTATAAAAATCTATTTATAATGCCATTGATTTTTTTCAACATTTATTTTTAAGGTGGCTCTCATGGTGCATTCACTTCTGGTACTTCAAGTTCATTAACTAATCAAATGGCTACCACTGGTTCCACTTCCTCCAACCTAAATTCATTCGGCAATTACGGCTATGGTATGAAAACTGTTACACCGCTTAACATAATTGTTTAATATTAAAATATCTCTTTCTAGGTGGCAGCAATTCCCTCACCAGTGGACAACTCACAAGTGGCAATTCACTTGGTTTGGGCAGTCAGTTGAGCAGTGGTCTTTCACATGGTAACCTTCTTCAGAGCAATACCGGTTTTACTCAGGGTTCATCACTACACAGCGGTTCCTCTCTTGGTTTACAATCTTCACTTGGCTTAGGTTTTGGTGGTAGCTCTGGATTGCATCAATATATGACTGAATCTGAACGTTTGGCCAAACTACAATCACAAGGTGTTAGCGTTGGTGGTGTTGCTACAGGTGGCAGCCAAACTGCCAATGTGTTGAATAGCGGTTCTGTTGGCAATACTGGTTTTGGTGGACTTGGTGCTGGTTATGGTGGTAGCGGTTACAAGACCAAATCATGGGAGAAGGCTTCTAAATGGTCATCGCAATCAGAAGTAAGATAAACGCAATTGATATCATTGATCATTTTTATTTTTTTTTTGTTTCATATATAGTTCGGCTCCGATGGACAAGTTAAGAATTTCAAGGAATTGTCAACAGGTGAAAGTGAATCATATGATATCAATGGCAAACGCACTGGCTACAAAGCTGCTACCACCACACTCGACGATAATGGCAAATTGAGCAGCTACAGCTTGCATACGTAAACCAATAGAATAAATTTAATTTGAATATTTTGGAATTCTAAAAATAAAAGAAATCTTTTTGTCTTAGCAATTATTGAATTGCATAATAAAAATAAAAAAACATAATAAAATTTTAAATAATATTTTTTTATTATTATACTTAAATTCATCATTGCTTAAAATTATAAAAATAATTATAACCACACTTTCAGAGATATTTGGTTACGAATTTAATCAATTCAAAACAAAATCACATATAAATTCTCCTTATCAGTTGATCAATTCCCTTTATGTACCAGATAGGATCCCTACTGATTGTTTGGTGTGAAATTTTGGTTTCATTATTAACTTTTTATCAAAAGAAGAAATGTTCTCGCTTTTAATCGAAATCAAGAGAAAATGTTTCATTTAGAGAAGTTGAAGAAGAAGAACAGCTTCAACACTTAGACTGGATCTCAATTATTCCTGACACATGTTCAACTGCAAATCTAATTGACAAAATTTAAGTTTTTATTGGAATTTCAGAAATTAAATACCTTTAGTACCTATTTAAGGCAAGCGAAAATTTTTATATTAAGATTTAATAATTATGGATCACTAGAGACTAGTAACCCGTTTCTTATGTTCACCGACATCTGTTATTTCTTCACTGAAGCTAAACATAATTAAAAGTCAGAATCAATGAAACGATATAAATTACAATCCACAAGAAATATAACTAGGTATACAAAACTACAAAGATTAAGTTACAGTGTAAAGTCAATACTACTTTTAAGGAATTTTGCATGAAAAGCAACTTTCAGAATCACGAAGAAATTATAGATTTTGCTCAAGATCTTTTGGCCAAACATCATAAATAATATAGGAACTACGTTGGAGAGGACAGAAAAGACTAAAATGTTAGGTTTCACCGACGAACCTAAGGGGATCCACGTAGGCTTATTGGCCTATTCTGTGGAAAAAAAACATTGATAAGAATGGAAATAATAATATAAAGTAATAATAAACGCTTAATAAGCAAATAGGATGCGAATATCATTAAAATGGCATTTTTGTGGAACCCAGAGAGAATTAAAAGGCGTGCAGACTCGGAATAAACCTGTGTGAGAATAGTCTTAAACACATGACAATGCATATGACTGTAATTAAAAATGTGTGTTTTTAACAGAACCCGATGGAAAAATTTTGTACTTGCCTCCTGTTTTGAATAGAGCCTGCAGCTTTAAAAATTTCCTTCAAAATTATGTAAATTTAATACATATAAATTAATTTAAGAACATGCTTAATATTATTGCTACTATATACAATGTTTTTGATATCTTCACTAGAAGCAGTCCGTGAATTCATAACGTCTTGATTTTGCACTATAGTGGTAAAAATAGTTATAATAATTACTGCTTTGGTTAAGGTGCGCTGACTCTGTGCTTCAAATTTGGTAGGACACGAGTTCGATTTCTAGTACTTGCAGTATAAAAAAATTATTTACAAATAATTAACTACAAAAATAATTTCCAAGTTCACTGATAATGGGTAATTGACAATACTGGAAACAGCTGTATGGTCAGCCAAAAATTCAATTAATTAAAATAATATAAAATGAATTTTTGTTGTTGTTGTTCACTACTTTTAGAAAACCTCTTTTTTATAATTATTATAATTTAGTATTATTTAGTAATTCTTTTTTTATCTCATTTCCAATTCTATACTAGTAAACAAATAAAATATAATTCATTTTATGTACTATAACATTTCTACGTAACATGATTTATTTATATAATTATTCACAACAGCAGCATATAAATTATAAAATTTTAAATTCCACTTAAATACGACTATTTAGTGTTTACTAAGTATTTATTTGGAAAATGGTCGATCCAATTTATTATCAATAACTTTAATAATAGAACTTGTAGGTCGTACTACAGCATCAATAGTTCCGTGCTTGCTCTCACGCCGCCGGCGATTATCAACAACTGATTGCACACAATAGCAAGGCTTCCAACTTGGTGTACGCTGGTAACCTGTTACAGAATTTGGACGAAATGGTTCAATATAGCTACGTTCTGTTGTCCAAAGATTTTGTACTGGTATATAATTATTCCAGCCATCACCTCGTCTATAAATATTACCACCACCACCGCGAGTATCACTGGCGCCTGAAGTGTAAACAGGTACATTGTAAGGATATTGTGGATAATGATTGCCGTATGAAGGGCCACTGCGGCCAGTACTATCGTGACGTTCGGAAGAGAATCCAGGACTCCAATGTTGTTTTGGATCGTATGGCTTGCGAGATTTATGCCTTGAATCGTTATGTCCTTTAAAAATTGGTACGCTTGCATCTTCTGTAAGTTTGCACAATATAATATAAAATGCTTAATATTATTAATTGTGTAAATCATATTCGTAGATGTATTAATGTAATATAGGAAAAATTATAAAATCATAAACCTACTTCAATGTGTATGTCCTATTCTAATAAACATAATATCATGTATTTGTTAACAGATGTTGTCCTTTATCCTTTAAATTGGGATAGAGTGCCTATAACTACGTGCAATATTTTTATACTTCATCAGAGATGCATAAAAAAGTATCAAAATAAATAACTTTTTTTTGATGTTTTATAGCTATTAATTTAGTATGTAAGTTAATTAATTTAATTTAATTAAGTCTCACCTAATACTCAGTGCTTAAATAGAAACAGAAAGAAGACTGGATATGTAGTTACCGATAAGCAAGGCTATAATAGCGGCTAAGGTACATTGTAGTACCAATGTACCAATACTACATTGGTGGAGTAGTACTTGTAGTTTAGCAAGTTTCGACGCATTGACTGACTGACTGATTTTTGATGTCTATTGCGGCTTGATTGACTTCCTTGATATTATATGGATCGAAGGCACGTTATGTAGAATGATGCATTTTTTTAATTACTTTATGGATGAAAATAATAAATTCTTATTATTATAAAATAAATAAGTAGTACCAGTAATTGGCTCCCTCAATTAATTGTGAAAAAAAGCTTAACACCATAGAGCATTTAAAATTCGTACTCTAATACACTGAGAGCTAATACACTACACAGTTATAGATAACAATTTTCTATAATTGCTAATATTTTTAAAAATATTAACAATATATATTCCGTCATTAAGATATGTTGAGCATCAAACTATAATTCGTAATTCAATGAAGCACATGGGAGTGTTAATCATTCAAGTGCTTTCAGACACTATTCAGTAAAAGTGCTTTAGATGCTAACTCCCGTTTCATCAAGCAAGGTTAGGTTCGGTTAGGTTATGCTGATAATCGCAACGAATGCACATTATGCCTATAGGCCCATTTGTGTAACCGTTTAATTAAACACTCAAGGGTTACAACCACTTAAAACGTTTAGCAAAGCTTATAATGCTATTCAGAGGCAGATCTTGCAGTTCGCCAAGATCCTCAAAAAAGAAAGTCCTTAAATTAATAAGGCGGCGATGCTTGTATGCTAGACAGAAACAAAGCAGATGGGAGGCACTTTCGCAGTCCTCTCCATAACTGCGGCAGGTATAGTTGAAAGGAAGATTTAGTCTCCTAGCATGGTAACCAAAAATACAATGACCTGTTAGTAAACCTACTAAAAGGCTAATAACTCTACGGGGCATTCATCGAGATGTAATTACAAATATTTTCTGAAGCTTTATTTTTTATCAGCTATGTTCATCAAAATGAATCCATTAGTCTTAGTAACCGTTTCGTATTAATTAAAATATTTATAAGATCTATTCAATTTAATAACGAACATTGTGTGTGAAATTACTTAAATATCTCAAACTAAAGAAATCTTGCAAAAATATCTACCTTTATCAGTTTTCTGTGCCGAACTTGTCGCATTCGTGTCATCCTCTCCATCAGTTGATATTTCAAAGGTGATGTCTGTATGTATGCCAACCCGCTTCTTATGTTTACCGACATCTGTTATTTCTACACTTTCCTTCGATTCTATTTGCATAAAAAATTTAAAATAGAATTTCGAAATTGATTTGAACTTTTTAATTTCATTTCAATAGATTTTCATTATAATTTTATAAATTTGTGTAGTCGAGTATTTGCTTTGTATTTGACCCAAATCCAATTACTCATCACCCATGCAAACCTAAACTTGCACAGACATAGTTGCTAGCTTACCTTTCGATTTCTGTGTATCGCCTGTGTCCACTGTTACACGCACACCATGAATCTTTGGGCCAACTTTACTACCACCTGCGCCGCCACTTGTACTATCAGTACTTGAACTACCGTCCGTGCCACCACTGCCATCACTACCCCTACCGGTATTACCACCGCCATGTCGTTCGCCGTTATTGGTACGGCCCTGTCCAACACCCGGCACAATAGGCACACTTGAGTTGTTCGTATTCTCGTCTACATCATCGAAATCCAGCTTCGGTGATACTTTTTTCGACTGACCTAGTTGTAAGTAGAAGAAAATTAGGAAAAATTAATTACACACCAATGGAATTCGAAATGAGTATTGCGGTATGTCTGCTTACTGCTAACTAAGGAGCATGCTGGGCATAGTCGTATGATTATTTACACAAAAAATAAATATATTTAAAAGGATATGTTGTGCACATGTCACATGTGCTCTACTTTCGCTTTAAAAGGAAATTAAGCTTCCTTTTGTGTAAATAAACAGAAACGTGAGAATTTTTAAGCAAATACCGGAGCTGGTGCAACTCAAAGATACTTGTACTTTCCTGCAGATAGCAGATACTTAGCAGTTGCGCTCAACTATAAAATTGTGGTTTAATTTTTCAAATTATTCAAACTACTTCCAAATTCATTAAAACCGAATAAATTTGCTTTGATAATTCGTTGGGTTTCATTTAATGTTGGATTTTTTCATTTCATTTCTTCATTTTTTCATTTTTTCTGGCTTTGTTGGAAATGTAAATCAGGCTTTTTTGTAGACGCTTTAGTCTGTGAAAATAAAAGTATTTCTACTTGCTTTTAATGAACAACTAATACAGCGTAAGTTTAAGTAAGTCTTTAAGGGATAAATTTTAAATTAATTTACTTTGTGCGCTTTAGTAGAATTTCAATCTGAAGAACTGAGAGTTATTCTTAGGAAACATTACACAATATGACAAAACTATATATAAAAATTAATAATTTGCTTTTTAATGTTAATTTTTTTTTTAAAAGTTAGAAGGGTTCGAATAGAAATGAAAAGACAACAACAAAAATTTTAAGTTAATTAGATTAATTAGTTAATTTTTCAGGCTTGAAACTAAGTCTGGCAATTACAGTTCAAAAAATTGTGTATGGACTATAAACTAATGAAAAAATTCGGATATTTCATAAGACACTGGTGATGAGTACTTGGTAATACAGTGTTGAATGGTCAATCAAATTGCAATAAATTAACTAATAATTTTTGTTGTTGTCTTTTCATTGGAACCTTTATAAAAACTTGCTACTTTAAGATTTGTGGAATAGATTTTATTTTTCGGCAAATTTTTTTGTTCGTTTGTGTCTATTTTTTTGTGGCAGTAGTATGACTCAAACTGTTGCAAATTTAAAATTATCACCCCACCTACCCTTGTAGATGGGTAGATGGGGTAGACTCCATTCTTTATAATTAATGCAAATCTTTATAACTTATTTTAGTATACTTACAACTTTCTAAAAAAGTCTTCCAAATTTTTTTAACACTGCTTACTACCAAAGTAATACTGTTGGTACCTAAAAAATAACAGAAATCTATCCCCATTAAAAACCGTATATTAATCATTGTTTTGTAAACAGGGAGGTTTTTGACCTCACCATCTCCGATTAGGCTGTGATTTTTTATAAACTTTTTTAAAAAATTTTAAAATTCGGGGTCTTGAAGACAATATTTTAAATTTTTTTGTAAGAAGATACAGGCTTTTGTACTGATAAACTTTCATTTCGCTAAAAAATTTTTTAAAATCTTTAAATAAAATTAAAAGACCCTTAGTTCGGAAAAAAAATTATTGATTTTTTTTGTTCTGGGATATACAAATCTAAAAAGTAAGTTTTTAAAACTTGTATTTCAGAGTCATTTTTAATTGCTGATATTACGGGCTTAGAAAATAGTAAATACTTAAAGAAAACCGTTAATATAATCGTTAATATAAAAAAGAAATAAATTTTTTAAAATTATAGATCGACTATTTTTATTTTTCTGATTTGAATTTCATGTAAAAATCCAAAGATTTGGGATGGAATTATTTTTAGGAATATTTTTAATATTATATTAATTAAACGTACACTTAACAATACGTGGAGAGTTCCTGTGAAATTACTGTTTGTGTTGAGTTAGACGTCCTCACTGGTCCATAACTGTTCTCAGTTAGCGTTTTCAGATAGTAACCTCTATGTTTAATACCTTTGTCTAATACGAATGTCTATCACGAAATTAGTTTTAGAAGATACTCTTAAACCATTGCAAACTAAACATTTCAGAGGGGGAAAATTGTTCCCAGATTAGGTTTTATACATAAGAAAGAATATACAAATAATGCAACAAATAATGCCTCTACAAACAGAATAGTATTGAAATTTAACAATTAAAAATAAAAATATAATTAATTAATTCAATTATTTTACAGCTGGTTTATGATTTCGTTCTAATATAAACACAGCAAATGAATTTCTTAATAAAACTTTCACAGCAAATTAACAAAACTCTAGAAAAACTCTGCGAACATATAAATCAAGTATGGCTTTGGGGCAGTTGGTTAACGAGCGCTGACTTTGTGATTCATATATGGCAGGGTATGAGTTCGATTCCTGCTACTTGCAGTCTCAAAAACTTTCAAGACCACTGATGACGGGTATTTGGCAATACTTGAAACAGTTGTATGGTCGCCAAAAATTCAATTAATTAAAATAATATAAAATGAATTTTTGTTGTTGTAGTTCACTACTGTTCGAAAAACCTCTTTATAAAATAATAACCAAAAAAAATCATGTGTATCAGATATACCTATATACGGTTTATGTTGCCTCATTTTTACATATATGAAATGTCCTTATTTGTCCTTATACATTGCTAAATCCATGTATCCATGTATCCTGTCATTTGTCATTTGAAATATCTCGTTATTTGAATCAGATAAATATATGGTTTATATTTGCTATATATATTACATTGTTTATATTGACAAAAAAGTAAATGATATATTTTGGGTCTGTTTAGATCTATAACTGTATGCTCTGGTATATCCTTGATTCCGGATTCAAACATTATTAATTTAAATATATTTTAGTTCACAGAACACAATTTTTGATAGTTTTTAAACAAATATATTACCAATTTTTTAACTTTTATAGTATTTAATTGGTTTGTGTATTTTGTTTACCTTGAACTTGTAGATTACAAAATCCGATAATGACACATATGTAACAAATAATTCTCGCGGCGATTAACTGCATTGTTTTTCCAATTAAAATCGAGATACACGATTTTTTTAGATAGCGTTTTTGTGATTTATAAGTTTAATTTCGTTATTGCAATATAAGAATTATTGCCAATAACTCGAAATGCTAAACACGATAAAAGCTGAATTAGAACTAACGTAGTTTATTTTTGAACAGCACATATAACCTCAACTGAATACTTCAGAATTTATATTTCTTAAAAACAAAACTTATAAGAAAAAAGCATCCGAAAAAAGTAACTATAGAAATAAGATTTAAAAAAACAAATAAAAAAAAATGTGTCTACAGAGGCGTAGGTCCAAGCGTAAGGGATTTCTGTAATATTGCATTGACAAATTTATCTCTTAAAGCTTCCGTTGTGATTACTAACATACAATATTGATTTCTTAGAATATTTTCAAGAATTTTTGACTTTAGCTTAGTATTATTTTTTAGCCCCCCATCCCTCTTAACAACTGACTTACTAAGTCGTTAAATCGTTTGAATTGAATTCGGTATATTACCTGCAGTTAATTTCAATATAAAATTGTATCTGTCAGCGCTTTTAGTGGCTACTCTGGGTTGGCGGGATTGGTCTGTTGAAATTGTTCAATGTTCGAAATCGGTTAGAACGTCTCAAAATTGCTGATAGCATCTTCACGCTACCTGTGTTAGCAATCAACAGCATTGCTATTGTTTTGTTATGTTATTGTTGTTGCCGTTGCTGTTGCTGTTGATGATGTTGTTAATGTTATTGTTATTATTGATGTTGTTGCTGCTGTTGTCATTGTTGTTAATGTTGTCAGCGTTTTTGTTGTAATTACTTAGTTGTGTGCCCAAAAGCTGCGACAATCATTTGAGCGCCTCAGCTTCACTTTTTACAAGTATTCCAAGCCAAACAATTCAAATGCGGATTTGACCAGGCCGGACAGTTTAATTGTTCTTAATCAACATTAATAATCTTGATTTTTTTTCATTACTATCTTTTTTTTGTGATATTTGTATTTGTTGTTTTTGCTTTAATCTTAGTTTAAGAAACAATAAACAATTTGTGTTTTTATTGTTTTTTTCTTTTTTTTTTTGTTGCATAAACTCTCGCTCTGAGATTGGCATGAAAAAGCCAGACTTAATAATAACAAACGCACGCTACAGTTATATATCAGTGTGAACACTGTATGTTTGAATGTCGTATAAATTCTTTTAATTTAGTATATATTTATAGCATTGTATATAGCAAATTAATTCAACCAGTTGCCATTAGGTCCAACATATAGCTATTGATTCTTAACGGTACCAAATAATGCTAAATCTTGAAGTAAAATGAAAGCAGTAGTGATAAAACGTTTATTTCCTAGACATTTTGGAGCTTTTAGAGGCTTTGAAGTGTGCGTTATATAGTGTAACATAGTAACTTCTGGCTGAAGTATATAGCATTAGCTGGGTCTAACTGGTTATACACCACACATGCACCTATCGATGTTGAGATGTATCAAATGTAGCTAAACATGGTCTATAGACCATGTTCCTATCATATTCTATAGCTGTGGTATTTAGCAGTAGGTGGAACTAGCTGATTGAACACCATCCATCTACCTAATGGCTGTTGGAAATAGCAGATGGAGCTAAATTTCTACGTAAATTTGTGGTATACGTTATGAAGTGTATCAACTTCTGACTTTTGTTTTTTGTGTGGTGTGTCTTCAACCCTCAAACCAGTTAAATCACCGCAATATCCGAAAGCTAAATTTCTACGTAAATTTGTAGTGAGCATTTGGAAGTGTATTACCATTTGCTTGGGGAGTGCCCGGCACTGTTGCCAAAGCGGAAGAAACACATAAGAGAGTATTTCTAAATCGTAAGGATTCAAGACTAGAAAAGATAGGCTCTATACTGTCTTTCATTAAAGAAATCGCATTAGGAGAAACACTCTAATTCGACTGAGTGGCACAATAAATCTTTTAGGTCGCAGTGTACTACCCCTTTTCACAATAATAATAATAATAATAATAGCTAGTATGTATGCTCAAAGCAGGACTTTGGAATTATAGTGCTTCTTTTTCTTTTATTTTGTTGAAGAATAAGAATTTCCTTATATGTACTAAACCACTGTTCTCGGATAATAGAAAGTAAATTTGTTCCATTTTGACCTTTCACTGAAATATCATTGTAGGGCTGGGTTCTATAAAGGTGGTATCTTTAAATGATTGAATGAGTATGTAATTTATATTTAGCCTTGCTATATTCGGTAGAGTACCTTATGTGCTCCGTTTCAAATAAATGTTCTAAGTCGTAGTTAACCGACTTTAGCACTTGAGCCAGAGTTAGCTATGTACCTACCTTTCATCTTAATTAAATGGCTATTTAAAGTTTAAATATTTTTTGTGTATCTGCAGTTGGCGCGATTTTATCTCATCATTTATCAAAATTGAGACAGCGTCGGTCGTCTATTTAGTCACTTTTTCAGATGCTCGTGGTTTCCAGCAATTATACAGACGTTATTTTGGCAGTCATTATTTTAATTAGTCATTTGTTATTGTTGTTGTATAAGTTGTTCTTGTGGTAAAATTGTTTATGAAGTGTTGGTGCTTTTAGTTTTGATCGTTTTGTTCATGATGATCTGATATCGTTGGGTGTAGCACCAAATGCGAGTTACATTAAAAAGATAGATCAGCGAAACGTTAAAGCTTTTATGAGAATATACTAAGTTCAAGTCTTTTGCGGTCTAAATTTTTTTATGGATTTTTTATATATACAAATAAATTGCTTGAAATAGATGAACATAAAAAATCGGAAGTCATGACTGTTTTTGTATTTTTCACATGCAAAGTTGACATTTATTTGGCTTAAATTGAAAGGAAGTCATAGCCAAATTATGCAAAAGGTCATAAATAATGGAAATTGTCTACTATAATGGCTTACTATGGAACGAATTCAGATATCGTAAAGGTAAAAATAAATTAAAAAATTTTTATGTGTTTAAAACGTTATTTATTGTTTTGTAAACTTGATGAAAACTTAGAAGAAGTAATTTTTACAAGAGTTTTAGTAGAATTTAATTTGGAAATATATATTGATTCGGGTCTGGAATTGGTTCTGATAATAAAAATGGGCTTTTTCAGTTCAGCACAGAGACATCTTTTTTGTAATTTTATATATTCTACATTCTATATAGTAGGTTAGGTTAGGTTATGTTACGGGGGCCGTCCGAAAACTCACTTAGACCATGAGGTCCATTGTGAATTTGACACCTGTCCCTATAAACATTTGATACTTGCCACAAAGGCATTGACAAAGCTATGGAAATAGAATCTAGCTCTCTTAGTAAATGGAAAAAGTGGAGACTCTATGTCTTGCGAAAGCAGTACACTGTAGCATAAGTTAAGGCGATTATCACTCTTTACAAAGTAGTGTTTCCATGCCTCCCTAGAAGGAATTAATAATTCAAGATTTCTGTCCACAATTGTGATCGTAGTACAGTAATCTATTATATCCGGAATGAAATCAATTTCTCTGAGGATGGGATCCACAACTTCTTCCAATTCCTAGTTCTCTTATCCGTAAAGCTTCTATATAGTATTTCTTTGGCAATTAAGTTTGCTTTCTGTTTCTTTACTGCTTAGAGTTTACGTTTTTTTTCATTTATTTTTTAAAAGCTATTATCCAAAACTTTAGACTAAAAATTTTTACTTGTCTTGATTTCTAACCACTGTCGATTTCAAGCATATATTTATGTGAAATATCACATAATGATCACATAATGATTTTTTTATTCTTCTTGCTCCATAGTTCGTTAGACTGTAGTATATACTCATATGATTTAGTTTAACCACATACAACTTATAAATAGATGTCTAAGGGCTGTTGTTTTCAATGCAAATTATAAAATTGAGAGTTAGAGAAAAAACGATATGTCGGTTCAAATTTTGGCATGAGAGCTGGGCTATTTCTGCTTTGACAAACCAGTGATGGCCAGTAAAAAATGTTAGTATTACACTCTATGTAATAATTAGATTTTAAGGAAAGGCGTATAAATTTTACAGTACTGTTAAAAATTATTATAAGAAAATATAATAATAATTTAATATTTTTACAGCCACTATGAGTGTTTCCTTCCTGATTACTTTTGGTGGCAAATTGAAAGTGAGCATGTCTACATTTCTTTTTAAATTTTAGGCACTACTAAAAAGTATCAAAAAGTAGTGAAACTACGAAATTTGCAATATTGATGTGGCACTCTACATAACATGCATTTTCGTCATAGCCCGAAAGAGACAATTTTGCCGTGCCCGAGACCCTCTACGTAACATGGCACTAACAGTCTATCAAATTGATGTTCATTAAAATTATAAAATTTGGAACCAAATCAGCAATTTTGAAAATGTAAAAGTAAATAGTTAAGACTCTGACTGATTATAAGGCAACAATAAAATAACAGCTCATATATAATATAACCCTTTCCTATATAACCCTATATACATTGTTCTGGAACTGACAAAGTAGTTTAATTTTTTTAAACCGAAATAAAATCCAGTAATCTTAGGTTTTTCAATAATTTGAAGATAAGAAAGATTTTCTATGGTTTTTTTTTAACCGGTAGGACAAAATTTTTTTTTTTTTGTCAAAATTAACAGCATGTCTTTTGTGACGTAATTTAAATAAATTTGATTCAAAATACATTTCGACTTTTTATGTTTTTGGAACAAGGAACAAACAAATTCAAAATGATGTTTATTTGCTTTCGATTTAATAAATTTTCGTATGCTGATAAACCGTGGAATACCGCTGTTATAACGATATTCGGATTAGCTCTTCATATATTAGGATGGGGCAGTCTCAGTGAAGATAAAACTGTTCATGCAACACTATCATCGACAATATTGTTGCTAGCAGTTTTGTTTTTTCTGTGTCACATTCAGTGGATTTTAACTGAACCAATATCTGAAGTTGCTCAACATGCTACTCACATTGTGCGTACGGTGTCATATTGGCTGATATGTGACATTATCATTGATAACTTTTGGATGCCGTATTTCAATTATGTGTGCGGATCTACTTTGCTAGCTCTTACGATCCTAATGATATCCTTACGCCTAACCGGTGTCACTGAGGAAGTGGAAATTACGATATCAACGGACTCTGTACCTTCTCCACATCCTAGTGAGTTTTTAAGCATGCTTGAAGATATCTCATACATGTCCATGAACATACCTGAATACAAACCTATAGACATGCTTGATGATATACCTGTAGATATAGCAATAGATAAACTTCCATATATATTTGAAGATTCACCTGTAAATATGTCTGCAGACGTAATTCCGGATATACTCCAAGACACACCTTTAGACGAACCATTAGACATATCTTTAGACGAACCTTTAGACAAACCGTTAGACACACCTTTAGATAAACCTTTAGACAAATCTTTGGTTGACAACAAACAAATATCATTCGAAACTGAAAGAAGAGATAACTCATCAGTCTTAACGCAGACCGAAGATGTTGAGAGCATCTCATTGGTAATAATTAGTTAAGGATTAACTAATTATTAATGGAAGAAACAATAAAACAATAAGTATGGTAAATAAACCTGTTTCGAAGAATTTTATTTTTATATCAATAGAATTTTTGATTTTAAAGATCTCTTGATGAAGAATAGTTATGAACTATATATGCGGAGCAGTTACCTTTTATATAAAATTGATAAACAGTAACATATACTAAAATGAAATAGAGTTATATATATTAAAAGTTACTAGTGGATAATGCCGTATGGGCGTTAATGTCTTTTGCTTATATATATACGAGTATAACCATGAATAATCAAGCTGTTTAAATTTTGCTATTGTGCTTTTAAAGGGTCTTCATATTTTCAATTGTTGGATGATTTTAAAAAATAGCGGAAAATTAACACAAAGTGAAGCAAAATCATGGATTCTTACATTGCAAGCCATTATGTATCAAAAAAATAATTGTTTGTATAATGCTATTAACTATACAATCAATTCATAAACTTCTAACCTTATAAAAATAAAACTAAACTTGTACAGTTACTAAACTCTTTTCATTTTAGTTTTGTCCTTACATCTGAAACATAGTACGAGTACAACGACTAGAAGTTACTTACTTATTAAGCCGTAACAACCTGTTACCAATTTTCGGTCTAACGCAATATGTTTCTCCAGGCACCACTGTTGCGTGCGCGCCTTCTCCAGTCTCGTACAACAAGTCCGTTTAGTGCTTCCCTAAATTGATCACTCCACTGGATATACAATCTATCTCCACGCCTTCTTCCTCCAACTACTGTTTCAACCACCTTTTTCGCTTGAGCATCTTTATCTATTCTTGTGATATGACTCAACCCGCGAAGTCGCTGGATGTTACTTCGCTGAATTATAACAATGTCTTGATAAAGCTCGTACAGCTCGTGGTTCATTCGCATGCGGTAGTCATCGTCAAGTTGTAGAGCACCAAAGATCTTATGAAGAACTTTTCTCCCGAACAACTAGGAGTTAGTATTTTCAAATTAAGTAAGTTAAATATGCAATTAGTTATTTTTAAATAATTTTTTTAAAATCATTACTATAAGAATATACGGGAATGCAGAATGTTATAAAATTAGCAGAAAAAATGTTTGGAACCGTCCTTCATGCTTAACTATGGCTTTGAGTTTCTGGATAAACAAGCCGTACACTATGTAAATGTGAGTCTGTAGCATCATTCATATGAACAATTTGGTATTTTTAGATACCAATCTAGGTTATTAATTCTTTTTGATTTGTACCCTCACCGAAAAGTTGAACATGTTCGCATTGATTGGCCGTGGAAGACACTCGGATACACTGTGGCTCTAAGTCTTATCTTATCTTATCTTTATTTATATATATATTTTATATATATTATATATTGTTCTATTTAGAGATAATATTTTTAATTGTGACCAGTTCAGTCCGGTAGACTTAAGTTCAACTAACACCGTCTTTCTTCATGTGTTACGTGGTCTACCAGGTTTTCGTTAACACGCTGGTTTCCACCCTGATGTGGCTCTTGATATATCAATGGAGTTTTTACGAGTGTGTGTGCAATTCATCTCCAGCGTCTTCTCGTTATACAGTATTAAAATTCTTTTTCACAATAGAGTTGTTAGAGCGCTTTCATGAATTACTCAATTGGAAAATCAGTTGATTTTGATTTTCTAGAAATTACACATTTGTTAAGTCTATATTGGGCATGCACTGGTGGATAGAGTAGATATGAAGCAGTTTCTTCGTACTCCTATGATTCGTTCTCTGTGACAAGAATCATTGAAAGAAAAATTCAAACTTTTTGTTTGGTAACTTAATCAAAAAACCAGCTTTAAGTCTAATATCTTAACAGACATCACGTTAAAATTGTTATATTTACAGCTGGATATATCACAAATCAAATACTTTAAGCTTATGACAAGAATTCCATTTGTACTTCTTAGACTATCCAGAAACTTAGTAGTAGTAGTAATAAAAGTTGTTACAGAAATAATTGTCTTTCATTCGATCCTTTACGTCTTATATTCTCATGTGGATAATACAAATCAGTGATATAATTCACTGAACTTTCAAAAACGTGATATACTTTTTAAGCAGAGACTATAGTACGTTATTATAAATAAATGGAAGACTTTTCTTATCTTTTTTAATAAAACAAACTTACCATCTGCTCAAAAAGTATTCGGATTTTGCTGTTTGTTAACTGCTCCTTAAGTAATAGACCTTTTTCAAAACTTTTGTTATGTTTTGTTGGTACACCCTTTCTTGATATATGGTATAAATTTGAGCGCCATCTCTTAATTAGTTTGTTTACAGCAGCTGTTAATGTGAGACTACCTCAAGTGCATTTAGCGATTTTTACTATGAAAAATTCTTGTTGTACGAGATTTTTTGACCAAACACGGCACCACTGTCATCGTTCAGGCACCATATTCACCAGATCTGGATCTGTGCGACTTTTTCCTGTTCCCGAAACTCAAATTGCCTCTTCGTGGTAAGCGTTTTAAGTCGATTGAATCGGTAAAAGAGAATTCGCTGAAGGAACTAAAAGCCATACCTTCACGGGCTTCCGAAACGTGTATGGAAGATTGGGTTAAGCGTTGGCGTATGTGTATCGCTTCAGAAGGAGCATATTTTGAAGGAGATAAAATAAATTTGGAATAAAATTTAAATTTGTGTGCTTTATTTACAAAATTCGAGTACTTTTTGAGCAGAAGGTAATATTATCTATGGTATTTTAAATCTACAGTTCATATAGTAGTTTTTTTAAAATAATAAATACTTGAAATGGTCTCTGATATCTTGCCATGAAGGGAAAATACAATTCAGCAGCCATAACCTTATTTAATTATATATTGTTTAAATAATCATTTGTCCTTCTGTCAACGGACTTCGACCAACACAAAAGCGCATTGATGGGTTTAAACTTTGAACCCATTTTAATCAAAAATTCTGGATGCACACATCTACCAATCTCTTTTGTTATCACTGCAGTCAATGATAGTGAAACTTTATAAGTTTCGTATTTGCTACCTTCCTCCATGCCTAGCCCATTTCAATTGAGTTGCATTGTACTGCCCTCATAAAAGATATTAAAGTGATGACATTCGAATCCAGCTGTTCAACAGTGTTTCATTTATGTTATTCCCCATTTTATATGTGTATATTGCACAATGGCATTCAATGACAAGCTGCACAAGAAACTATCATAGAAAGAATTGTAATCTTACATCTATCAGCGCAAGGTGAAAACCAAACACTGCTGCCCCGCAGTCGTACAAAATATTATATTTAAGATTAAGTGTTCGTACATAATCACACATATGCGCTCTAAGACTACATGTGTATCCTTGCACCAGGCACTCAATCCAAGTGAAGTTACTCTACGGTTTCCTTCCATATACTCGTACTGCAAGTGGAAATAGTTTTTAATGATTATAGTCCTACTATGTGGTGGTGGCTTTGGGAATTGTAAGCACCGCAAACCATACCCCACTGCAATTTAGCTGCTGTGAGATAATTTTTTGATTAAAGTGCAAGTAAACAGTCGAAATATTAACGAAATTATGGGAAATTGTACCCTTCGATTTTGTTTTATTTCTTGGCCCCTTAGTGCGTCTGCTAGTTGTGCACCCAACATCAACTTATTTCAGTTTCTTATTACGCAAAGTAATAAAATTTATGGCTTGACATTAATGAGTTTCTTATCCGTAAGCTTTTTCTTATCGACGTATTAACGTCCCCTTCCCAAAAGTTGCTATAGAAGTCCTTAGAGCCCTCTTAATTATTACACATAATGACATATCCAAATAAAATTCTTAATTAATTGTTCAAAACTTAAGTTCAAACTCTTTTACAAGTGAATTGTTGTATTTTATCCTTATATTCTTATTGGTTTTCAGTACAGTGAAGTACTGGCATAATTAGGAAAATAGTTTACATTGAAGCAGAAACTCATCTTATTGTAGAGATAAGTACGCAAAATATATTTAAATTGAAAATTATCACCTAATAATGTATCGAGTAGAATCGATTACGACTTCACAAATGATCATGGTGGACAAGATTAAATCATATCACTATGAAAGTCCACAAACTTGGTTTTTCATAGCCTTTATGATAACATTTATTTTATTCATTTATTCAAGAGAATTTAACATTATATCAGTCGCTTAAAGAAATTATTTTGGAATAATGATAATGATGAATGGAATAATGATAATGCTTAATGTCACTAATAAAATAAAAAAGTAGGGCATCGAGCCGGAACCGAACCAAAAACCAGAAATAAACGAAATTTTTGCTGGAACACACATCGGAACCCAACCGAAAAAAAATATATCGATTTATTTCAGTTCAACACCATATAGTTTGGTGTCTGGGCATCTGTTTTTTAGTTGACTGTTTATTTATTTGGATTTTTGAAAAATACTTTAAATTGACTAAAACTTATTGCCATTAATGGGTGTTCCTTTGAAATGGGGTTTTCAGGATTCAAAAGAATAATATACCCAACAGTGGCTGCTACAGGTAGTAATTTTTCAAATAATGCCGAAAACATTAAATTGTTAATACCTATGTTAAGATGGCTTTTAAAATTATAATTAAAATAGGTACAGTTTTAGATAAAAAAATGACTTCTACTCGACTAAATAAATAAATTTTGGGAATCAATGCACAGTTGGTACTAGACAGTAAAATAAATTTATTTAGGTTAGGAATGATGGAATTGAAAGATAAACCTATGGGAATTTATATCAAAAATATGGTCGAAAAAGTCTTAGAAAAATATAAAATTGATGCCCAGCAAATCTATATTATTACTACAGATAATGGAGCCAATATGATTTCTTTCGTAAATACATTAGGAATGGAAATAGAAGAATATATTCTCATTGAAGCATGATTTTCGGAAATAACTTTGCTTTTAATATTGGTTTTTAAAAACCGATATTTTTGCCGGAACGAAAACCGGAACCGAACCGATATATATGTTTTTTTCTCTTGTACCGGAACGAAAATCGAAACGAAAAAAATTCCGGTTCGATGCCCTGTAAAAAAAGTGACAAAAAACCTGGAACTTGAGTATTGAAAGTTTGTGCAGCCTTGGCTGCTTGTGGAAAAACACGATTACTCATCGCTTCTAATGTGACAGGTATGAATATTAAGTTTGGTACTTGCAGTGTAAACAAACTATATACGGACTATAAACTAATTAAAAAAAAAATTTGAAGATTTTCTAAGACCACTGATGATAAGTAATTGGCAATACTCGAAAGAGCGTTGTATGGTCAACCAAATTTCAATAAATTAACTAAAATTTTTGTTGTTGTCTTTTTATTTCTATTCGAACCCTTCTAACATTTAAATAGTTTCTTTTCGTTATAAGACGCATTACTTTCGACGAAAAGAAATTAACATTATGAAATTATTTTTAATTGTTCAATGTTCTTCGCAAGATCTCCGTTATGAGTTGGCGATGAGCACCACATTCGAATAAACAACGAGCAGTATAAGCTTCATCAGGACGTTGATATAA